TGCGTCGCCGCTAATGGAGCGGCGATGAAGTCAGTTTGCAACGTTTCATTCATAATGTAATGGCATTTCGTCTCCTCCTTCGGAAAAATTACATCTCTTCAAAGTTTTACAACTGTTTGAATTGAACTGTTTCAAAATTTGGAATTTGTTGAGACCTCTCTGCGTCAATTTCTGAATAGGTGCTGGCTGTGCTCCGGGTGTAAAGCTGAGTTATTTAGAATGGCATAAAGGTGAACTGGTGTTTTTAAGCCCGAATAATGCTTTCCTGTGGTGAGCGAGAATATTTAGCTCACTGTCGAAGCTGTCAAGCACGAATAAGCGTCCGAATCACATGGCCAATGTACGCACCGTAATGACGTTGCAGTGCAATAAAAGCAAAACGGATGCACGTCTTTTACAAATTACTTCTCGTGACTACCACCCCGTCGCATGGAGACAGCCAAGTACACATCGCAAACAACCAAGCAGGTGCCAATTCATCCACCGATGGCGGCCGCCGTTGTTATCAAGAGGACGATGGCGTCACGGATTTCCAACACAGATGAAGCGTCTGCAAATGCTCATTCGTCTCGCTTGCTGGACACACTACCAGCCACCCCACCACCAGCCACGTCACAGCACCAACCGACAGCTATGGGTACTGTGATGGTTTGGTGTTTCAGGGCGCGTCGGCATCTGGGTCATCTCGCGCCCTCCCAGTGACGATCTAAAAATGTTATGTTATGTTAATGTTATGCCGACTTTAAGTGTGCTGTCAGCTGGTAACAGCTGTGTCGCCGGTGCACTTGCACTGAAGGGTGGCTAAATATACTGCCAACGTCAACGTGTGCTAGAAATGCGAGTATATTTCCCATTTCACAACATGGGTATCAGCTGACTAGCTGGTAGAGGAGCGTCGTTGGAAAACACCGTTGCCTATCCACTTTAAGGTGCCTGCATGAGGCAAGGAGGCAAGGACATGCCCCGCGGTTCCCGCATGTCTGTTACACCGTGGCACATCGTGGCGAGTCAAATAGAGCGACTGCGTTGCATTTGTATGATTTAACCGAAGTCCACGAGGGGCGACTCCCTGAAGGCGGCTTATGCGGTGAGAAGATTCACCATTACCAAGTTGGGGCTTGATTTACTCGAAAACGATGCATGCTGGCGTCCCTCCAGTTTGTCCGACAGTGGGCCGGCGGGCGGGTTGTGCGCAGGCATGGCGGTCGGCGGCGTGTTGTGCCTTGCGTCGCCGTGCGCGCATAGGCGTGGCTTTTGTTGCCCAATATTTACAATTGACGCGGGTACACTTTCAGTCGCATCGCGAGTTTCTGCAACGCACCGTTGTGCTGCGCAAATTGCACGACAACTTGCAAGATGCCAAGTTTTAATAATCGAAGTGGTACGGTCACACGTATCACACGGCACATGATCACAGATGGATTTTGCTTTCTTCCACGAATTTGCACCTTTTGTGCAACATTTCCGCATCTGTGGCACTAACACATCTGGAATTGGCGCGCTGCAATGATTAATGGAAGGAGCGAGATGATACTGCTAGGTGTACGTCTGGTTTGGCACATTCTGTTTTTGATTTAGAATATTTTTTGGATTCATCGTTCAACTTCGTGGCCGTTTTATTGGCTTCCCGCTATCTTGAAGCCACAATCGCATTTTGCCGCATCGTATTATATTGCACACCATTTTATGGACTCATATTTTGCAGCAGCACCTTTTTTATAGCCTAATTCCTAAAATCGTATGTTATAGGACATTGAGAAACATTGTATTTGATATATTTGTAATGTTCTGTAACGAGTAAGTGAATAATGTGACGGACCGAAGCTAGCAAACGTCGTAACGAGCCGAGGATATGAAGAGCTACCTTGTGGGTGGTTTTCGAGCAAACAGACAGAAATGTGAAACCTGGAGGTTGTGTTCAAACTTCACAGTGACGACGCCGTCTGAACGCTAAATGCTTCCAGCAGGCGCACTACCCCGTCCCACATATGGTAATGGCGGCTCGACGCGTCATCGACCCAGAGGTGCCCTAGTCCGAACCGAGGCACGGCGAATGGCGGGTACGACAGGCACTGCCGGTCGGGATCCTCATAGGCTGGCGACTCGCATGGAAGCCAACGCTGACCCTACTGGATAGGCCTGTGCGCGGTGTCGTAGAGTCTGCAGCTACGTCAACAAATATTCTGCAAACTTCCGGGTCATGAGGAGGGGGGGGGCTGGCGTGGGTCACGCGACCGCCGACCGTGTCAAAGGCGGCACCGCAGTCTGCACAACGGGCCACACGTCCAACCGCCAAGGCTTGGGTCAAAATCGAAACCCATGATGGTAAATCTGCAGGTGATCTGTATGTTGACGGAAAAAGCTGTGTTATGTTCAGCAGGCTTATCAAACCAGAGTCGAATCAGATGGGCGTCATTACACGCAGCTGCATCAATGTTTATCCCGTGGGCCCGGTCGGACCGGTTTACCACAGCGTACGCGCTAGACCACGAATGACCTGTTTGATCTGGCCACTAGATGGCGCATTGTCGAATGCGTGTTCGATGCGCTTCCTGCTCAGTCATGGCGTGTCCATTGTTCATATCTACGAGCGTAAGCTTTAAGGCACGGTGGGGCATAAGTGTCCTCTCGCCCACGGAGATGAAAAAGGAGCCTCGCAATAAGCTGCATTTGCATGGCACACGGTCTCGTTTTAATCATGCGCTACACCGCGCCGTGTCACACAGAGCCACCGATGCTGTAGAGCGTCTAGGTTTTTCACAAATGTGTGCGGAAAGGAGGCGTGCAACTGACCTGGGTGGATAGCCCATTATCCCACAACTTGGCTGGTGCCGTGATACGCAATTGGTGAGGCAACGAAAGTTTATGCCGGACGCTATGGCTTCTCGTTTTGGGTGGCGCATTGATCTCTTTGGTGACTTCTTCCCATCATCTACCTCCCACATATTTGTCTGGCTTCTTAAGTGCTCCACGTAAATAAACGAGACTTGAAAAGAATTAAAACTTTAAGTACACAATCGCAGTGATTATGTGATTACCCAAAAGTGTTGCGAAACTGATGCAGCTTAAAGTAAAAATGATGCTGCAAAAAAGATATATCCGCAGCCATCTACACATGTAAATAAGACGGTTTTTGGTTGGCTCACTTTAAATGTAATCTTAAATATAAATAAAACGTCAGCTACATTTGAATGAGACGATATTCAGATATCTTAATCAGGGGCCTTTAAAACGCGGCACATTAATCAAAATAATGGCACAACTTCACAGCTATCCAGGGCAGGAAGCTGCACCCGCTAAATACGAGTAACATTCAATGAAATATAAGTTATATGTTCTGTCGGAGTATGAAGGCACGCAATCGGCTCACTAATAGCACACACAAGTTAACCGATAGGAGGTGTGGCTGCATCATCGTTGGAAAAGTATGAACACTACGCAGTTGCGGCGTGGTAGCCACCGCGCCTGGGCCTGCGTAATGGGGTGAAGTGAGAACTACTTGATGCTATCCAGAAGCAGCTTCTCATGAAAAAATGCGAGCGTTCGAACCCGCGAATGCATAACAACACGATTAAGGGATTGTCAAAAATATTCTAGACAGTATATATAGATCGTTTTCGTGCGCTTCCGGTGCCCTAAGGCGCTTAATTACCCGAGGTTTTGGCCGATTGCACATGGTGATAGTACCATACTTATCGTTCACGTTAAATGTGTCATTTCCCGTTGTTGCACGTATCTAGATTTCAATGGAAGAATATTCTTTAACACGCGCCCGGGTGGCCGGTCGGATAACCCTCGCTCAGGTGGGGGTCAATTTGACCCCCTCCCCCTGAGATCTCAGGAATTAATAGAGCTCGCGACAACCAAATCCGCAGGAGGTATTAGTCTGTACCTGAATTCACTTACCTCAAAGTCAAAGATTCCTATGTCATGACCTTCGGGTCAAATAATATCAAACAAGGCCAATCTCTGGGTTGGTCTCCAAACTGCCCCTAGAACCTAGATACGTATTACAGGCAAAAGGTCCCATTCTCATTTCAGGTCAGTGACCTTCCATGACCATTTGAGGGTCATGATGATCAAAAGCATGCAACACTGGTTCAGTTGAGTTGCAGTTGAATAAGGGACAAATATTACGCTAGGCAGTACGTTCCGACAAAGAAAACGTTGACCTTGTCATCTTCGGTCAGTAACCCATTCTGACCTTTGAGAAGTGCATGGAAGATGCATAATGCGGTTCCTGTTATTAAAAAATTCAAAATGAGCATCAAAAACTACCCCATGCAGCAAGTCATTCAGTAATAAGACAGATCGGTTTTGACAATGATCTGACGTTCAAAGAGATCACTTAAGATCAATTTGATTTGTTGATTCTATCGTTGTGTTACCTAAGAAAGCATTTCAGATATGTAGAGCCTTTTTTAATACTCCGTTGTTGCATCAGGTTGAACGGTTCCCTAGAAATTGACTTCGCAGAATCCATGGCCTGAATTTGGCCTGCTGTAAGTCTGCGGCCTTACAAGGTACACCTCAATTTGTAATTTCAAAGGATCCGCTATTCAACTGTTAACAGCTAGATAAAAATTGGCGCGACTGTGCCGCGCCGTTTGGAGACCATTCTGGAAAGACCTTCGGGGGGTCAGTTTACCCGCCCCCCCCCCCCCCCCACCCCCACCCGAGCGCGTCTTGATGCTTGCACATTTTATGGTTGTTTTGCTTCTACCGTATAGAAACCAGGATTTTGGGCACGGGACAGCAATATGCCTCGATTATATCAGGGAATGCTGCTGTTACAAATTTTTTACGAGGCGCCTACATAATATTCAGGCACTTCGTAAAAGTGCGGAGTGTTTTCTCACAAGAGAACTTAGGACATAATTCATCCAGAGAGTATCACCTACGTGGAAGATGTCAGGTAGTGCACTAACATGAATACAATCATTAAATTCGCCACAACAAGAACGCTAACCATAATTTTCTATTATTTTTCATCGCTCGTATGCATGATCAATTACATTTGATTACTGCAGGATTTCACTGCAAAGACCTGAGACTAGATTACCGCAGCCAACTAAACAGTCAGCTAACTATTTCATTTTCGCCTTACTGGACTACGACATGTGTTCACTCTCATCCATAGCAAATTTTATGTTGCTGTTACAGCTTCCATTTCGTACCACGACATCGGAGTACTCTAATGTAATGAAACCCTGGCAGATCGGCTCCATCACTGCGTCGCTCAAGGGACAACACGCCGCAAACTTGACCCACAATGAGATAGCTGCCACTCTACGAGCACGAGGCTACAAAGTGATGGAGTTTAAAGGTGAGCCGCCACTGGTAATGATTGCAGACACTGCGTACTTGCCCGAGCAGGTAATGCCTGAGCTGTCAGACGGCCGAGCCTCTGGTATCATCTCAGGCAAGAAGATATGGGTAGATGAAAAAGGCGTGGCTCAGTGCTGGTATTTTTTTGACACCGAGTCACAAGCCGACAAGAAGATATTCAAGGACGCGGTAAAGACGTGGAGTGACAAAAGCTGCATCAAGTTCAACAAGATTCCAGACGGCCCATGCACACAGAAAGTCGGGCACGGCGCCATCTGCGTAGGAAACTACGGCGGTTGCTTTTCTTTTGTAGGCAACACCTACCAGGAGGGAGGGACACCACAGAAGATGTCCGTTCAGCCCAATGCCTGCGAAATGGTGGCCGCGGCACACGAGTTCGGCCACGCGCTGGGCAACCAGCACCAGCAGAGCCGTCCAGACCGAGACAAATTCATGTTCGTCAACAACGAGAACTTTGAGGTGTCGGTGGACAATAGCAAGCGGGGCGATGCCTTGTCGCAAACCTGGGCACAGGGTGGCCGCTGCGCCAAAGATCAGGTGGTCGACCTGCCGGTGCCTTACGACTACATGTCTCTGATGCAGTACGCCACGACGGCTTTTGCCGATGACGATCTCCGGCCCATTTTTGTGTCCACCGACGGGCACTACCAGTACATGCTCGATTACCACCGCAACGCGGGTATGGCGCAGTCGCATTACGACATGTACGCCCTGAACACGGTGTACGGATGCGGCAAACTCTGGGCTGCGCAATGTAAAACTATCGGAAAACATGTGCCAAAGTGTAAAAACTTGGGTTACTTGACTAAGGACTGCACGTGCCAATGCCCGAAGGAATACAAGGGTGAAACCTGCAACAAGAAAGCAGGGCCTACATTCCCCCTTCTATCGAAAGCAAAAGTGATGATCGATGTGAAAGAGTCCCAGAAAATTGATCTGGGAACTAAGAAGTTTGTGCCGGACAAGGGTGATGCAGTATTGGACGACTTCAAAAATTTTCAGTTCTTCACGGTGATAGCTGACGGTGACCCTAAGACGCAAGTGTCAATAAACATAAAACAGAGCGCGCACAAGAGCGCGGGCTTTCTTAGTGCACAAAGCGCCGCCTTCCTCTTAAGAGCCTTCGATCAACAAGATTGCAAGATTAATCTGTTCTGGGGCCTTTCGAAAAAGGGCCAGCTGAGGACCGAGTGCATATCAACCGTGGCCAACAACGAACCTGACGGACCCATGTTTAGCAGCAGGAGCAGCCACCTGGACATGATTTACCACAGTAGCATTGGCTCCAGCCTCACCGACCCCAAGATCACCATCGCCTTGATGCAGCTACAGCTGGACGTCGTCTTTGCCCCCAAGCCTGACAAAGTGCTCGCGGTGAAGAAAGCGCCCAGTGGCGGCAGCGACGGTGGTAACAGCGGCGACGGCAACAACACTGCCCCGGGCGCGTCCAGCATGACGGGAAAGACTGCCGGCGTCGGTCTGGGAGTGGGTCTGACACTGCTGGTGCTTCTCCTCGCTGCTGGCGGCGTAGCGGCCTACATATTCAAGAGGAAGCAGCAGCTGGCATCGGGTGCAAGCCCGGACACCGCAGCTGGTGGCGATGGAAACAAAGCTGGCAACGACGCCGACTCTGGCTCCTCCTCCTCCTCCTCCTACCATACCGACTCCGCCTCCGACCACGCCGACAGTGCCGAATAGTGGCGGTGAAGGAAGGTCGGCTGACGCCGGCCTCGCAGCCGCGAGAGGCGCCGCTGCACGCTCCGTGAGCCCTGCGCCCGTTGTCCTCCTTGTCCTTCGAGCCGCCAACGACAACGGATAATGCGGAGGAAACCCTCTGGTAATGACAACGCTACTGACGTTGACGAACCGTGGACCATGGGCGATGTAGTACACTGCTGTCGCCCGAGCTTTCATACACCTTCTCCGACCGTTCTGCGCAGTGAGCGTCGCTGGATTTCATAAAGTAATCGCTCAGGCACGTCGTGCAAGCCGTGTACGTCACTTTCGCAGGAAAGAAAAAAAACAAAGGTGACAATTTACGATGTGAAAAAGACATTGCATTCTCTGCGGCGTGCTACGAACGAACGCTTTTCCTGTATACGGGGTCTCCTAAATGCATTCCTTTCACCTTTCTTTATTTGCTGAAGCGAAGCCAAGATAGTGTTTATGACGGATTTCAGATAAGGGGCGTGCGGACAAAATAATTTGAACTACTACAAAACCGCATGAAAGACATGCCGCGAATACATATCGCAAAATGCGAGGTGAGCTAAGCACGAGGGAAGTAAAAATAAAAAACACTTGCATTAAATGCAGACACCTCAATTACTATCTAGGCCATGTTCGCACCCAGTTATTGCAGCAGGTAAGGGATCGCAGGTGATACCAAGCGTCAGCCCTTTAAGCACACCACCAGGCAAGGGGAGCAGAGACCGACAGGGCATGAGGCCGGCTGACCAAGGCAGAGACCGACAGGCATAGGACCGGCTGACCAAGGCAGAGACCGACAGGGCAGAGAGGCGGAGAATGACTGACCAGGGCAGAGACCGACAGGCATAGGGCCGGCTGACCAAGGCAGAGACCGACAGGGCAGAGAGGCGGAGAATGACTGACCAAGGCAGAGACCGACAGGCATAGGGCCGGCTGACCAAGGCAGAGACCGACAGGGCAGAGAGGCGGAGAATGAATGACCAGGGCAGAGACCGACAGGGCAGAGAGGCGGAGAATGACTGACCAGGGCAGAGACCGACAGGCATAGGACCGGCTGACCAAGGCAGAGACCGACAGGGCAGAGAGGCGGAGAATGACTGACCAGGGCAGAGACCGACAGGCATAGGGCCGGCTGACCAAGGCAGAGACCGACAGGGCAGAGAGGCGGAGAATGACTGACCAGGGCAGAGACCGACAGGCATAGGGCCGGCTGACCAAGGCAGAGACCGACAGGGCAGAGAGGCAGAGAGTGACTGACCAGGGCGCAGACCGACGGCGCAGAGAGGCAGAGAGTGACCTGGTAGCGACGTGGGCCTGTGCGTGGCAGTGGTGAGGGTTTCTAATTCCGGCTGAAGCAACGGACGACGGGCTTTGGTAAATGCTCTGCAGTTGCAAACGCTTCATGGCAACTTTGAGTGTCGGTATACGAACCACAGATTTTCAGGTATGAATTGGGAGAGGTGCAGAACTCCGGAATATTAGCAAGCTCATGATCATGTTGCTAAGTGTTCATGATTTCATATGCGCTTGATGGTGATGATGACTTGGGCTTCAGGGCGCGCTGACTGCAATGGTCATATGCCCCCCCATAGCAAGCGCTTAATCACGGTTCGCTTCCGAGAAACCCTTTTACTGGAATGACTAAACTAAGTCTGCCCTCCCCATCCCTACGCCATGGAAACCATAAATACCGCATTGGCCGGGTATGTAAACACAGCAAGAAACGGCGCACGTTAAGAAACCATCTGAAGGTATTCGCTGAAGTTCTTGGCATGGATTTCACGTTCGGTGTGTAAAGGAATTACGGGACACATGCTTCCAGGGTTAAGGTTTCGTTAGCTGGTAAGCAACACTGCGGCAGGCGCGTTACTAAAGCCGTTTCAGGACTTTCACATACAGCCACACAAGTGCTGTTCTTTGTCACGTTCCAAGTACTCAGTAGTGGAGGTGTTGTCCTGATGTCCAATGCGTCCTCTTCAAGAAATATGGCTTTGCTTGGTTTAAACTCATGCGATTTCTTAAAAACATATCTATGCGGTAACATAACGAGCACTCTCACACATCACACGTACAAGGACATTGACCGAGTTTATTTTCTCCCGTACAGAGTGCCTGTTAGTGTGCGCCACAAATGCATTGTTTGCGCCAACGGTGACGGAGACGATAGCATAGTCATTTAACACGCATTTGAACACACATTTCGTTGTGTTGGACGCATTACTTTATGTTGCGTTTGCAGTCAATCTGACACGTCACAGGTGCAGTGAACTGCTACCATGGGACGCGGTTCGGGCATGGCGTTGGGAGGCCTCCGCGCGCGTACAGAAAAAGCAACGCAGAGCGACGGACGTCCAGCTGACACGTAAAACACGGCGTGCATCGACACAGTCACGTCGGCGCACCATCTCCGTCCCGCTGCACCATCCCAGCGTTTCCACTGCAGACGTAATGTGGTCGCAGCGGCGGATGCCGGTCACCAGCCTAGCGACGAAGTAAATTACCTCTTCGACCCGGCTCAGTTGGCAGTCGGCAACGCCTCCGCGCACGGACCGACGGTGCTGTATGTGAGAGGAGACGTGCGCATCAACAAGAAGCTTCAAAACATCGGGGGTAAGGTGGTGCTGAATATTGAACAAGACATAGGTATGGTATTCCAACATCGAACAGCCGCGGCGATGTGGGTCTCCCAGGTCAGGTGTTGGTCGAGGAGCACACCCAGCGCTTTCCTCGCTGTTGAGGAATATATAGTTAAGCCAGAAATGTTTATTTGGAAGTTGCCGCTTTTTTGAGTGCAAGATGTTTTGCCGACCAGAGTGAAGTCGGTTTTTTTTTCGGAGCTCATATCTAGATCTTTGAAACAAAACTTGGAGGCACTGTATGAACTCCCAGGCACGTGATTTCAAGTGGGACAGGCCGATGACATCAGCCGTCTGATGTGGAGCTATCGAGGAGCCGGGTGACATCAGCGTAGGATAGCAGGCGGTCATGAGGGAGGAGGCTGGAGAGGTCGTTGATAAAGATGGAAAACAGAATTGGCCCGACTAAGGATCGCTGAGCCACACCGTCTGCCAGCGGCAACGGCTCGGAGTCGCCCACCACCTATCTCCGACCTTGTGCAAATAGCTCAAGAACCATCCGGAGGCCACACCACGCCGTTCCAGCTTAGTCAGGAGGACACCATGGTCAACGCTGTCAAAGGCCTCGCTGAGGTCGATCGTCGTGAGCGATGCGACATGACCGTGGCCGACGGCCCTTGTGAGCCATGCAACAGCGCCGAGCGCGGCGACCTCCGTGGAGTGGCACGCTTGGTACGCGTGCTGTGGCCGCAAAAGTAAACGGTGATTGAGCGGGTATCAGGTGAGTTCCGCACAGACGATTTTTTCGGTGACTTTTTATAGCACAGTGAGGATGGAGATAGGCCAAAAGTTTTTACTGTCTGTTGGGTCACCCGACTCGAGCACGGGAATGACACGAGCGATTTTCCAGGCATCGGAAAAAGTATATGAGCCGACAGAATAGCTGATCAGATGAAATAGGTGCGAAACAGTGGCCGGAAGACACTTTCTGACAGCCAGCAGAGGGGCACCATCGACGCCGACAGATCTGGACGCGCTCAGCCGGCCGATGGCTGCGGACAGCTCTGGCGAGGCTGCCGAGCACAGCCCGAGGGTGGAGGCGCAGACGTGATACGGTCGCCGGCCGGCCGGAGGCTGGACGACATCGTAGCGCGCAGCTGCTGTGCGGGGCCCGCGGTGGCGAAGTGGGCGTTGAAGGCGTCGTTGTGGCCACTTCAGGCCGTTACGGGGCCCACCTCCTCCCTCCGCTGGCCGAAGACTAAACCGCCTTATACGGCTCCAAAGTGCAGGACTGCATGTCTTCGGCCGGCGGCGAGTCCGTGCAGAGGGGGGAGGGCGCCAGCGCGGGGGACGGGGCGGGGCGGGGCGGGCAGGCTGCCGTGCTGGGGGCGGCGGACCACGGGCTTCTAACCCCGCTCCGGCTGTCGGAGTTTAACGTGGAGACAATCGATTATTGCAGAATGCATTTCATGCAGTTTGCTTAAGTTGCATGTCATGTGGCTCCGGTGCGTTCAATACTGTTGTACTCTCAGGGGAGTCGCACAGGTTGAGCCCGCCCTTGGATTCCCGGCGAATGGAATTATCGCACTAACCAGAAGTTGTTTACGTGCATTAACATGGCAAATAAAAATGTGCCTGTTGAGAAAACTATTCACATTCGAAAAACTTCGGTGTTTGGATCTTAACAAGACGAGCTAAAAAACGGTTCAGTACAGCACTTTCGCTAAACGTGAAACAGACAAGGATGAATTTATGTGCACTTCCTTTGCTGCACGATTCACAAGCCATTGTTTGTAAATTTGGCATGTATTTGAGCGTCACCTACAGGAACCAACGACGGAGAGTCCTCAAACCACCAAAAGGCCCCCAATAGATATCCCGTGCAGCTTGATAGATAAGGCTCCGACAAGAACATAGGGCCATTCTTCACATAAAAGTACCCAAGACACGATATGGAGGGCCTAGGAACGACCGATTACGCCCGAAGAGGTTGACTGATGGGAGCCCTCGACAATAGCTTAAGGCCCTCCATTCAAAGGATGGAGGATCTCTAGAAACATAAACGCCCCGAGACCAAAGTACTCCCTCTAGGATGCTCGTACATTGTGGTTTTCTGCAGACGAAGCCCACGCCTGTATAGTATCGGTCATCGTGGTGATATACTTGCAATATACAACCATGCAAATATATTTCTGCATCTCCATCGACACCCATCGGAGACAAAAGCAGAACAGCGCAACAACACAAACGTGTGTGGTCATGACGCAGCCCCAAAACGGGAGCATCTGCATAAGAATAGCAGGCCGGCGCGTTGCAGCACGTTTACGCATGCGGCAGCACAACAAAACGTGTCCATCGACACAGGCCGGAGACGCGTCACAACACATTATCGCGTGTTGGGAACGCAACACGGAGGAACGACGCAACCCAAAGCTGAATGACGCGTCCCATACAAGAGCAACGTATTCTACGGCAGAGCAATGCGTTTCAGGGCAGAACACTATAGTCTCCAGTGACAAACACTGAAGACTAATACCAAAAATTGGAAATCAGCATCGCTGATTTGGAAAATAAACAAAACTTTCAACGTCATTTCGGCGCCGCACACATTTAGTGAATCTGCGCATCATCACCGCCGATCAGCAAGCTCCTTTGTGCCCTTCTCGCGCCTTTCGGTCACGGCCCATCACGACCTGGGCACGGCACCTCTCACTCACGCGCCTGCAGCACGAAGTGTTGCAGGAGG